AGAGCACATAATAAATGTCTAATGATGATGGCGTAAACATAACTTTCTACACTCACTCACGCATAGTTTAAAAAAGCAGTTAAGGTGCAAAAATTAATATAGGCATATATATATGAACGAAAAGCGGCGTTAATTTTTTAGGCCCTATAAACGTAATGTCCCTAAATGAGAACTAATATTATCAACATCTACACAAATCGTACACACATTTTTTTAAACAAAATCGGAGAAATTACTATTTTAAACATGTATTTTACAGATGAAGACATAATAGTTTTAGAGTAATGTAGTTTTCGAGCTGGAAGGTAATGCCCGAATAATTTTCTGCGATAAACAACTTCGGGAAAAGAGAAACTGCCATCGTTTTGGACATCTGTAACATCTGTATTTAGTTTTTGTAGATCTTATGAAAGCCTTTAAAAACTTCCCCAATGGAAAATATTTTGGCTTGTAATATTGGAGAATAACGTGATGTATACATGTACACATATGGACTACCGTATATAACGATGCACATGGTTGAGTTAATAAGAAGCCAACATCACGACAATTTGCGATTTCTAATAAGTGCTTATGGCAAGGTTGTGTTATAATCCTCACATTGTTGAAAGCGCAGCTTGCGGTCGGCGTTAACATAAATGTTTCAAGCGATAAATAATTTACATTGCTTTGGTGATGAAATGGCCATGTTCAGGTACGAAACACAGGACGCCGTAGAAGAACCTGGACCACTTCAAGTGGGCCATATTTCTCGAATATCTACAATGTGAAGGCTGAAGGGTAGAGATTTTTGTACACTAGAATGCGAGAAAATGTGGAATTGTCATATATTGCAATATATTGATATTTATTAAAATACCTCAAATTCCAAAGAATTTGCACGTTTAATTTAACCTTTTCTCACCTACAGCGTTTATATTGACAAGGGCAAGCACGAGGAGCAATTCAGTGATTCAAAAAACACATTCCAGAAGGTGCAAGAGTTTTGACAATAGTTTTCTATAACTTCAACTTCACATCAGTTACAAATGTTTGCTCTAAATATTTCTGTCAGTCCTGTTTTTGCCATTCAGCTAAAAAATAAAAGGACTACTTTATGCTATCAAGAGTATGTCTTTTACTCTCCTTGGCCCTTAGAAGTAGCAATACACATGTTTGAACTTCGAATACTTACAATCTCACAGAACAGCTGCAGTCGACAAACTGAATAAAGAAGGCTTTGATTAAGAAAACTTGAAAACATCACGCGCTGCGGTTTATTAGAAAAGTCAATATTAGCCTTCCCTCGATAACTTTTCTCAGACTGGAGAATCAAACTACTCGACCCCTTTAGTAAAACTTAAATTTAAAAAAAATAGTATTTGGAATAATGGGTAATGATCTAAAACTGTCTCAAACATCTCTTGAATTGAAGACGCCGTCTACAGAATTCTAGCAAGCAGCTGCTCTGTTGGGTAGTTTTCAGTCGTTTCTTCAGTCAATACCAGGCGAATACCGGGGCAGTACCCTAACAAACGCATTGGCCAAGCGCGATCTTTCCTTCCTCAACCTTGCCTCTACCTCTCTCCTTATACTCATACTGGCACTGCACTCCCACTTAGTGTGTCCGGAGCTAGAGCCTATCCCGGCTGGAAGGTGCCCAGCTGGGTGAGATACCTGGAGGAGGAATTCTCCCCAAAACCGGTGTGTAGGTCGGCACCGGATCTCACCATCAAAAGGGGAGGATGGAACTAATGACTATAAGAGTTGTCGTACCCAATTTATGCTCATGAATTGCGTCGATCAGCCCGTCCGACCGTCGATCAGCCCGTCCGACCGTCGATCAGCCCGTCCGACCGTCGACCAGCCCGTCCGACCGTCGACCAGCCCGTCCGACCGTCGACGCAGGCCCGTCCGACGTCCGACCAGCCGCCCGACCGTCGACACAGCCCGTCGACCGTCGACCCAGCCGTCCCCGACGTCGACACAGCGCCGTCCGACGTCGACCAGCCGTCCGACGTCGACCAGCCCGGCCCGACCGTCGACTGCCCGTCCGACCGTCGATCTGCCGTCCGACCGTCGATCTGCCTGTCCGACCGTCGATCGTGCCTGTCGACCGTGATTTGCCTGTCCGACTCGATCTGCCTGTCCGACCGTCGATCTGCCTGTCCGACCGTCGATCTGCCTGTCCGACCGTCGATCTGCCTGTCCGACCGTAGATCTGCCTGTCCGACCGTCGATCTGCCTGTCCGACCGTCGATCTGCCTGTCCGACCATCGATCTGCCTGTCCGACCGTCCCTTGATCTCTCTGAGAGAGATCCCGGTACCTGGGTAAACACCACTGCAAAAGGAGTAGTCAAAAAATCAGCGTCAAATGTCTCAAGCGCAATTTCATTATACATTTCCCACTAATGTTCATTTGTTAAAACAGTTCTTCCTCATCCTCCGAATTTCGTTCATTTATTCTGAGTCAAATGACAAGTGTGAATACTATTCGAGAGGTAATCTCAAACTGGGAAATATCTTTCCCAAATTTTTTAGTGAAAATAAATGATGTGTTGAATAAAACAAAAATGTACAGTAAACACCAGTTATTGAAGCCTTAATCACGAAGCTGATAAACAGTTTCCCACGAAAAGAAATTGCGGATCTTTGCTGAATAGCCTATCAATCGCATACTGTTCATTACTTTCCACATAATAACAAGCGCTACATGTAAGCGCATTGGGGCCCGAAAGCGCTGGTGGCGACGCGCTGAGAGCAGTGCAGCGTCACGAGCAGACGCGCGTCACAGACGCCGCCTGGCGGCGCAACGCCTGACCATAGCAGCCGCCCCGCCCCGCGCCCCTCACCACACACACCGAAGGCAAGGGAATAAACGCGCTCTATCTTTCTCCAGCTCTGGAACCTTCATGTTGTTTCGCCAAGGCAGTCCACCTAACCACGGGATGCGTAGTGAACTCACCTTTCGAGTCGGGTTGTTGGTCGTCAGACACTCGCGGGATAGAATATTTGCTAGTGCTTCGTCGAAAATGAAAGTTAATGATGGTTAAAGGTCGTATGGTTTGTATTTCGATGTTTCTGAGTGTGTACGATAAGGTGTCTGCTTAAGTTACCAGTGTGCTTAATTTACCAGTATCATTATATCAACAGTTTATGCAACACATGTTGTATTTAACCCTACTTTTCAGTTTTGAAGTTGCTGTGCGCCAGGCTGTAATATCAATTATTATAATGGTAACAAGGTTAACATGTTTGTTTTTCCCAAAGGCACTGAATATAGAAAAATGGGAGGCTGTGATTAATCGGAGTGTCTTAAGCTCATAGCTAAATGTTTTGCAACATTTTTCAACTGCACTTGCCATCATTGTAGATTGGATAAAACGAGATGAATCTTGACTAGTTGAGCGCACGAAACTACGACTACGAACAACTTTATGGACGAATGATGTGTTTTGTAAATAATTTTTAACAATTTTTGTAAATAAGCCATTCTACCTAACAAACGTACTTGCGCCTGAACGAAAACCTCCTGTTAACGAAGGAGGAACAGGGGCCTTATAAGAAACACCGAGAAAACAGGTTCAGAACATGGTATGAATAATATACTCGTAACACTTCTACTTTTAATAAACATTTGAACACCGAAAATTTAGGAATGTTTTCTATGGTGCAGACAAATATAATTTTTTTAGGTAAACACAGTTGAAATGCGTCCAACAATTTCATCAGACTTTAAAAGTTTCAAAGATCTTTAAATTCACTCTTTCAAAATAATAACATTCTTTATGCTGAAAAGTTTAAATGGGTTATTGATTAAAATCTGAAATACACTAACTGGACAATGTTCGATTCTTTGATAGCACATTTGCATTATTTTTTAGAAGACATTCTCAATTCAATATAAAGTAAATTCCTTCTAATAAAAAATCTTTCAGGGTGTTGAAGATATTATTTCCAATACAATGCCGTTGCAAGAGAGAAAATCAATCATCATTAAAAAATTAGTTTTTAAATACATCGAACTCATCTCAAAGACAAATATTCTCCAAGCATGCTTATTTTATCCAACTCAATATTTTCCCAATTCACAGAATTTTATAATCCCCTGAAAATTCTTCAGATATCAACTCAGGGAAGTCAATTTTATCTCCGTAGAATTACGATATACATTATTACGAAATACAAACTAATACATACGAATTACATACGAATACATACGAATTACGAAATACATGGCGAAACAGTAAGCTTTAGGTACTTGTAATAGAATGCTTCTCATGCCATCTTATATTTTAGGACTAAGTAAGAGTTGTGGCAGATTTTCTAATCAATAAATCATTATTCCACCACTGACCACAATTCCCACCATTGAACTACAATCGTTAGTCATTATCTTCTCATAGAATTATTCATATGACTCGGGATATGAATATCTTGAATCCGGGTGGAATTCTAATAAATTTTAATATTGTTGCAAAAATTATATTTAGTATTGTAATACTTGCGTTTTTGTAAACATTAAACCTACACATTTTATGCGTAAGAAAGAAGAGTAAAGTATTGACAGGGTGGAAATGAAACGAAGCAAAACATGCACAGGTACTACGAGTAACTCCATTTTTTCCGTTGGAATATCTCCAGGTTACTTCAGAACACTGTAGTGTGGCACTTTTGCATATACAGGAATTATATCAAAATTCCGATGGAATAACCAAACATGAACATAAACTATAAAGAAATAATTCAAAAATAAATATTTTAACATTTTTTAACATCAGTGTCTGTATCTTTTATTCTGCCTTCAAAATCGTTCTTACAAAAATATTTAGATTAACCAAATTGAAATTTGTTAAACGCAACTTATTTGTACAAGAGTTCAGAAGAAAGGGTAATTTTCCTTTTTCCCCAACATCTAATTGAGTGTCTCAGCACCACAACCCCTTACTTTCAAACCGTCAGCATCTTAAACGAGCTATATCTCTGGTTTAATCTGTTGCCAACTAACTACGCACCGTACCTTGTTTTCCAGGGATTCCGCGTCGCAGACACATTTCGAGCAAACGGAAGTGAACTGTGCGTGGCGTGGCGCCGCGCAACCCTCTCAGGGAGGCGGCAGAGGCTAAGCGCCGTCTAATGGGGAGAGGTGGCGGAGATCCGCCGCGCGGGGGCGCGCGGAGGCAGCGGCGCGGCAAAAACGCTCCGCCGCAAAGCCGCGTCGGATGCGGGCGCTGGAAACAAAAGCCGGTTAGCCACGGCAGCCGATAAGCCTCGCGCCTCAAGCAACCGCCTCCGCTCCTTACACGCTACCTACGCTGCCGCCGCCTTCACCACCGAGCCCTCTGGAACCGAAAACGCACACAACCCCAAAACTTATCGGGAATATAGTAAATGTTGACCTTTTTGTACTCATCTTCGACAACATAATATAGTATGTAATGTTCTAGAACGTAATGTGATATTAGGATTGAATATAGCTAACGTACATCGCTACTCAGAATTATTTTATGTTAAGGCCCATTCACAATTCAAACGTAAACTTAAGCATAACGCTAAGACGTAAACATTAACATAAGTGATAGACTGACGTATTCACAATGTCTAACATAAACGTAAGCAAAATAAGAGTTTCTATTGGCTGTGAGATATCCTAGTTTACTATTGGTTGAATATGAGAATAGATTTCGAGGTATCGACTTTGTCCATGGTCCATATGGCGTTAGTTCGATTTTAACGCACTGTAATTGGTTCATTTCTTATGTTTTACGTAAGCATAAGCACAGAAGCTTGAAGTTTGCCAGCTTTTAAGTTGTCTTACGTGTCATGTTTATGCGATTGCATTGTGAATGAATCCGCTTATGGACGTAGTCCTAACTTTTATATTAATGACATGCTTATGTTTATGTTTGCATTGTGGGCGGGCCTTTATTTTCCTTTTGCTTGCCTCACTTTTAGTGGTTTTACAAGGAAATCATTTACTAATGATTTTTAAATTTTATCCGGGTACGTTTGTGAAAGTAGTAGTTACAACCTCCAACTATACGAAGCTGTTAACGAAGCCGGAAGTTAGATCTTGATTTGGAAGACTAATGAAAACAAGATTATTCATATACCTATGAAAAATAATAAGCAGTTTTCTTACATACAGAGAATTCAACGTTAAATTCATTTTCATATTTATAACCTGCTACTACTGCTACTGATGTCCCTCAAGGTTCAATTCTCTTTCTAACCATATTTAAAACTTACACATAAGATATTGCTGAGCTAATAAATTCGATCATTTCATTGTATGCAGGTAATATGCTTTATTTTAATGAGATACCAATTTTGAAATAGCTAATAACAACATATGATCTTGAAGGATAAAATAAGTGGGCCGAAACCTGAAGAGTAAAGGCGAAACAAATCACTAGTTAATATTTTTAAGCTGCTGTGACCAACTGTACTGATGCCCCACAAACAAAAAGTAATAATTTTTTACGTTCCTTAGGTGTTAAAAACCGTCCGCATGAATAATTATTTAGGAGTATTGACAGATAAAAAATTAACACGGCAAGCACTTATTAAAACAGAGGCAAACAAATAATACATTAAAACGTCAAAATTACAACCAACCCTCAACTTCCAAGCGTTATTAAAAACAGATCGTGGACAACTGATTACAAAATAGATCATACGGCCAACATTAACTTACGCATGCACAATTTGAAAGAACATTGCTCTTAGAAATGTTTAATCTTTACAATGTACCCAAAATAATTTCTTAAAAATATCGAAGCTCCATAGTTCATTCCCAACTCACAAATCTATAAATATCTAACATAAACCCCTTAGACTCTTTCATACAATTATTATCATCCCAGTTTCACTCTTAAATTTCTGATCCAACTTGTCTACCTGAATTCAACCTCAAGTGGTAAGACGAATGCAGCCTTTCTCGTGTCCGATCTCGTTTTCCGAAAGATTTATTTCGACCGCCGTCATTTCACTATTTAAAGCAAATTAAATATTATTCAGTACTCGCTGTACCTATTCGCAACTTCGACGAAGACTTGAATTAATTAGCATAGAGTTGAATTAATTCACACAGGTTAATTTTTAAAAAAATGAAATAATTGTCAAAATAATTTTCAATTTTTTACATTAATATTAAATTGAAACCTACAGTAAAGCTTCTTTCTATACTTTGCTTGTGGTTTTACTTTCAGAAGCAAAGACCAATACTTTTATGGAATCAGTCACTCTAGAATATGCAACCTATACCTATATCTATACCTAAAACAATTCTTTCATAAACCTACATCTACTAGTCTGCTCTTTTACTTTATTGAAATGAAGTCTCTTGAACTGAAACGGGTAGTGTCTGGAATTATTGGAATTGTTTCGAAATACATTTCGTTTAACGCAGCGACTCTCAAACGGATTATATTACAATGTTTTAGTAGGTTTTCATTTCAATGAACAGGAAAGTTTTCTCCGATTTTTGTCTGCATCTAACGATGTGGCGCACTCACACTAATGAATTTCCTCATTTATGAAAAAGCTGAAATTTCAAAAATCACAGACACATTAAATTTTGTAAAGGTATTGATTTAAGTGTTTTAAATCTCTAATGAATTCTTTATGTGCTTAAGAAATTCAAAATTATATAAGATCTCAAATAGCCTTAATCCAAGTTTAAAAGTTAAATTATGTTATAAAATTATCACATTTGCAAGCAAAATTGTCGAGTCAATACATAAACAAACAAACAAATAAACAAACAAACAAATAAACAAACAAATAAACAAATAACAAACAAATAACAAACAAACAAACAAATAACAAACAAACAAACAAATAACAAACAAACAAATAACAAACAAACAAACAAATAACAAACAAAGAAACAAATAAAAAGACTCGCCGGGGCGATAAGATTACTTGTTTTACAATATTTTTGTATGCATTTACAACAACTATGAACAATTGTTTAAAAATGGAAAGCAAGTGCTTAATTACACCTTTTTTCTTTATTGAGAAATTTAATTTCTACCCAGATCGTAATCACGTGACGCTCGTTTACACCACCACGAAAAAACTTTTTGCGTGAATTGTTCAATTGTGCTTTACAAAAGCGCATTTTATTCAGAGAAAAAACAAAATGGTTCCATCAATATTGGAACAATGTTTAAAAAAAATATACATCGCAAAATTTCAAACTATTAAAAATAGATGGAGATTGAATGTTAACAAAAGTTATTTTCAAAAATAATAAAAGCATAGATAAACACTACAAATCAGTTATACGAAAAGTTAGGTATGTCGTGAATATTGATGAGGTGTAGTTCGTATTTTACCACGATGTCATTCTTACGAGAAGTTTTTTGACTGGACTTACCGAAACATTCGTGTACAGCCGTAATTCGGTGATGCGTTATGTTCGCATATTTCGACGTTTGGTTTCCGATTATTTGGATTTGGAAAATGGAATATATTTCGGCATACAAAATTATAAATACATTTAATATTCTTCTTCGATTACTACATTGGTTTATAGTGAGTACATCTCCATTTGCTAGTCAGTTTGATGTTTTGATAATATTATCGAAGTACACAGGTTTTTAAAATTTTACATTGAGACCTACGTAACTGCACATTGACTAGGATTTCACTTGTGGGGTGAGCAGAATTATACTTAAAGCTTCATACTTGGAAATGGAAGTTGTCTTACAAGTACGTTGAAGGAAGCTAAGGCCACGCGATAAAACATTCTGCTTCACATTATCAGTCGCTCAATACAATGTAAATAACCACAAGGGATCCTGTCTCTGGACGACTCCACATATCGCATTTATATTTGTCCCATCTATTCCGTGTGCTAAAACATACAGGCATTTAAAACATTTAAAATTAAAATGTCGTTGGACGTCTTCTATCTAGCAGAATATTAATTTAACTGTGCAATAAGAAAATCGCACATTTTGCCTTGCCTTAATTTTCCAACGTTTTCTTTAACAAGCAAGCCGCAGACCATAACTTAAATACTCGTACTAGATATTTCATTTTACATTGGTTATTTCCACAGTTCGGAGTTCACAATAATAACGAAATAATTTTAATAATAGAAAAACCTGGCACACAATCATGGCTGAAATGATGCACAATATTAACATACTTAATGAGATTTTATTCCAGCGTCAGTTGGTATTTCATGAACCGTACTCGAATCCAATTATATTGTATGTAGATCGGTTGCTTGCAATCTGAATCTTAAGAAACACAGCTAAAAAAAAGTAACAGGATTTATATCTTACGAGAACATCATAGTCTTAATTGTGTTCAAGAGTTCAATAACATTGTAACATTGACCATAAGACGATAAGAGTAAGTGGTACTGGGGCAGTATATGAATGGCAATAATTCGGAAAGACAGAAAAATATATCTTGAACACAAGCAGAACAAGCCAATACACTACGAGCAACACATTTCTCCCCAAATTATATTTCCAAAGTTTTTCCCCTCCCCTCCCCTCCCCCACTTTTCCCGGAAAATTCCCCTTCCCCAGGTGCCTCCAGCCTCTCTGGAACGAGCGGTCGCCCAAACGCGGTGCCAACACGCTTCCGCGGAGTGCAGCGGCGGGAAACGCGCGGCAGCGGCGTGGGCCGAAAGAGCCCACCACGCGCGCGCCACGCGCGGCCGCGCCCGCAGCGCGCGTCAGCACGCGCCCAGCCCCCCACCCCCCTCACTCCCTACCACGACCCACGCGCGGTTGCTGTCGCTGCGACCGCCACCGCGCGACCGCCGCCGTCGGCTGTGCGCGGGCGTCGCACACGCAGACCACGCGCCGCGTCATCTGCGGCTCACGCGCCCGTGGCTGCGCGCTACTCACAGAGTTGAAGCACTCGGAAAACATTTATAATGCAATGTACATCAGTAAATATAATGCTACGCGCATATTAAGTAAATAATTTGGTTTCAATTTCCAGTTGATATGAATTTTTTTCTTTCACAAAAAAATGTTTTATTTAAATAAATACTCTCTTTGTTATGGGCGAAAGATGACGGTTTTGTACTATTTATAAGAAACCAAAACCATCCACATAAAACTATTTAAGTTTGCTAGACACCGCTCAACCCTGCAACTTCAAACTACTTTAAGAAGAAATATATAGAAGTTCGCAGATTATGGTATAGAGGAAAGCAATCCGCAGCAAACGTTACGATCCAACACACTGTGCATTAATT